GTAGGAATGGAGGATTTTGATATAATGGGAATAACTGAAACATGGTTAAATGTAGATGATTTCAATGACAAAAATTTCTTTCAAATACAGGGTTACAGACTATTTGATAGGGATAGAATATTAAAAAGGGGAGGAGTGGCTTTATATGTAAAATATGAGTTGCATCCTGTTGAAGTTGAGGATGTCAAATATAATAGCAAGGAGTTTGAATCCATTCGAGTTTTTATTAGCAGATATAAAAGGAAAAGGCTTTTAGTGGGAATTTGTCTCAGACCATCAAATGGTACTGATGAAATTAATGAGAAACTTTACAATGAGATTAAGATTTCAGCTGTCAATGAAGTCATAATTATGGGTGACTTTAATTTCAGGCATATAGACTGGGAAATTTTGACTCCATACAAATAGGGATTTGTAGCTTGAGAAAATAATCTAGACACTATTTCCAGCCTAGTTTGTTTACTTTTTTAGAGTCCCTAGGCTTGAAAATATAATCTTTGCATTTTGATTCATCTTGTTTCTGTACTTTTTTGACAATCCCTATTCCCCTTTTTTAAATTAACAGTTTTTAATTATCTTGTTTTTTAATTTTTTATGTCCAATTTTTTATAAATTTTAAGCTACACAGGTGCATATGCATTTAGTTGAATGTTAGATGCTTTAAGAGTTTACTGTTTCATTGTTTTTTTACATCCAACTGTTACGTCTCCGTTTGTTAATTAACTTTCCGTAACTTCGTTCCGACGAAATTTTAGCGACACAAGTCCTTACTTAATAAAACTGGTTTATTCTTTCCGAATACAACTTTACGATACACTTATTTTCAACAATCGCGCTAAAACAAACGCTATAACAACGAACGTTAACTTCAACAATACGTCTCTCTCTGACTGCAGTTCAATTACTCAATATCTACACACATATTACCTTACCGTCACGTTGTCACCCTCTTTTATATACCAGACTACCCTATATCTAGTAAATGCTAGATCATTCGCCAAAGTACAGGATAGTTCTAGAAAGTAGAGGGCGTGAGAATAGTCACGTGATCTCGATGACGCAACACAACCATTATTTACTGAGCCAGATGGTTTTGTGCCTGAGGTTTCGTGTAAATACGCGTTTAACAAGCGAAGTACAAAAATCAATAGAATAACGTACCACTCACAAGAGTAATGTACTATGGTAGTCGTCTACTGTTAGAAAACTCACTAAAATAGTCGCAAAACACCACAACAAAGTACAACAGCAAACATGAGATATAATGAAAAACAGAGAACTTGAGAAATGATGAATCTTCAACGGGGTAAGCCTGGTGGTTAGGGCGCTCGATTCACAATTCTGAGTGTCTCGGGTTTAAATCGCCGTCCCACCAAACATGCTCACCCTTTCAGCCGTGAATGTGAAGGATTTAGAGAACAAAAAACGAAGGTACCTGAATTAATTTTAAAACTACCCTATGATATACTCAATACTGCATTCATTACTATTGTACAGGTTTCAGTAAAATATTCGTAGCCGTTTTTTTCTGTAACGGCTTGTAAAACTATAATCAATAATAATAAGGCCTGAGACACTTGTAAATATATACATTGTCTACTCTAATAAAACGAAGCATTTCCGACTAGTATAACGGTGTTTAAATGGTTTCTACATTTCTGCGATGCTTGAATGGTTTCGAAGAGTTTATGTTGGTAGAGAAGAAGAACTCATAAAATTTTAGAGAGTAGCAATCTTGACTTTCAAGAATCAAACATAAAAATAGCTTACAACCTTAGCAGGATTTTGTTTAGTAGCTGCGCATAGATTTTGAAACAGTGTATGTAGCAATTTTTGCTGTACTCTTCGATGCTTAAATCATGACTTCGAAGAGAAACTTGGCCAGTAGCGATAAAAAACTGATAAAATCTCTCATATTTTAAGAATCAATATAAAAATAGCCCTAGGACCTGTGCAGGAATTTTTTAGTAGGTTTGAATAAAATATTCTTAGCCGTTATTTCTGTTGGTTTGTGGAACAATAATATGAAAAACAAATGATGAATTTTGTCTAACAATAGGAAAATCAACTTTTTTGCTATTATCAATATTTTAGTAGCCTTAGCCATTGAGACAAAAGGTCTTGAGTGTTGTTTCAAGAACAGATCTGCTTTTTAAAATAGTTTTTGCCCGTATTTTGTATTAGAACTATCGTGGTTCATGTTATGCTTTACTAATTACAAAAGTTATAATTTTACATTGATTGGAGAGCTGTGGAAATTTTTGTTTCATTAACAGCAGTAAGTACCATGAGTATTGAAACAACAGTGTTATAATTTGGAGACACGTTTTCTTATATTGAATATTCAATTCTCAACTAACTGACTTTTTTCAGGGTTTTGGAGCAGGCAACTTCAAAGCTTTGTTTGAAGCTATTGAGCTGGATCAGGGAAAACGAGGAAATCTCTGAAGTAACCAATTTATCATCTGTAGAAGGCTCTACTTGAGGGAATTCTACACTGACGGACTATGAATTCTAATCTAGAAACATTTTCATCTGTTATTAGAAGCTTTGCTTTGATGAATTTTTAGCGATGCTTCAAATTTATAAGAAATTAATACTATTTATAAGTATGGTTAATAAAATTGAATATTCAAAACGCAGTTTAAATTTTAGCAGGGTTTCTATTATAAAAGTGAGGTGTTTGTGTAAAATGCATGGGCGCCCCCAGGAAGTGGCGAGAGGGGACATTTGCCCCCCCTACATTCCACAAAAAGTTGCACGTATTATGATGTAAACTTAACATCGTTGTTAAACTAAATATTTTTAGTCATTTTTATTAAGACTGTACATTTATGTTTACGTTTAAGCACATACCACATTATTTCAGTATGTTGACTTACATTATATAAGCTGATCACCTACATACAGGTTTTTGACTCCCCTTGAAAATATTTCTGTGTGCGCCCATGGTGAAATGTGTCTCAGTATTTTGGAATAGTTGGATAAAAATGAGATGACGTGTATCCTAGTTATATGTATAAAATTGGTGTGGGGTACTGGAAAATAACAGATATATTTTCTTAAAAATATTGACTAGTTTTATAAACTTATGGACACAGTTCTTTGTTATTTCTGTTCTCGTAACTGTGGCGTCTCACAAGTATAAATGTGATATGAAATATTATTTACATTATGTTAAACATTCCTAACTATTGAAAAGAATTATATGCATGTATTTTTTGATACTAAGAAATTATATATGATTTATTTTAATATATGAAAATTGTTATATTGAAAGTTTTATATCTGAACACAACGATAATTCGTACATAAGATAAAAGTTTTGTGTTGTTATTCATACATAAAATCTGTTTAGTAAATGACTTGTATAAAAATTGATAGTAATTTGATTCATACCTAACAATTGTTCATGAAAATGGGTTGTCGAATTCCATCCGGCTTGATCAGCCCTATCAGCGGGCGAAAAGCCTAGCAGGCATTGGATATGGCAGATATACAATGTGTATTATATGAACCATATTCTTCTTTACTTTCAAAACTCACGAATTCTTAGAAATGTCATATAACCTTCTAAAGGTTTGAAATAGGTAATACTTTACTGATTTCAGGTAAAATGATTTATATATTTTAATCTTAGTGTGTTACTTGGCTTTTAACGAGTAAAACTTTAAACAGAATTCTACTGGTTACAAGTCGAATCGTATAAGTAAACTTTAATAATTCTGGCTGTTTATGAAAGTCAGCATAAAACACTGGGAATGAGAAATGATTGTTTTCATGTCTGAAATGTAGAGGTTGTCGACAAGTGATGTTATTCAGCAGGATACATTGTCTAATACATACTGATGATAAAATAAAATATCCAAGCTTGTACATTCAGTTCAGTTTCTATGTTGTTGTTGTTTTAAATCAAACCACGGAACCGAATTATGTAAAAACTGGTACAAACGGAATATCTTTTGTTTCGTGGACTGGCACCCCGTTACTTTTATGACAACATTTATGTTTTAGTCAAGTAACCACCCTGTAAGCCGGTGGCTGCTACGAAAGTATTATATACATACTTAAGACAACAATATAAGGCATACTTTTGTTACTAAGTGACAAATACGAACCGAGCGTTACCAAAAGACAACTGGCTTTTATATATATTAGATAATTATTTGGGGTATAAAACATTAGTAATCACACTGTAATTGTAAACCGGTGGCTTTTAGGAAAGTAAAACGAATCTAATCGCGTTTTCAGAATCTGTTGATAATAGTAACGTATACACTAACTGGTGCTGAGGCTTCACTAGTTTTGTACTTCAAGTTTACTCTGGGTGTCTTTTTTTACTAAAGCCTTAAATTTTTTTCTTCTTAAATCAAGCTTGGTTTCAGTTAAGACACATTGGGAATGTTTGGGGGTAACTTTGGGCTACAAATGCTGTTAATATAGCAACTCTAGAGTGTAGTGTTACTATTATATTGGGTTAGTTTTTAGCTACCTTTGGACTATAAACACTAGAAATCTGTCAAAATTAACTCAGACACCGTATAAGTTTGGTTAGACTATCGACCCGATATGTATGTGATTGTTCTTATGTTAAGCAACAACCAATTAATATAACGCACGTTTAGAACAGAAAATTGATAATATTTAAATAATCAAAACCTTCAATTTGAAGTGAGAATGCTGCTGTTAGTGACAAACGTTTTTGTTAAATTTAAACAAGTTATGTAAAATGAACTACGTTAGTTTATTGAAGTGAAAAGGTTTGTTAAAAACTGGATTTTTCCGTTTCCTAGGGTTCTTCAATGTTTGAAGTTAGGCACAAAGTTACACGATGGGCTAGCTGTGCTCTGCTCAGCGCGGGCATCGAACACCAATTTTTAGTGTCATAAGCCCTCTGACTTTCTGCTGAGCCACCAAGAGCCAGTGAAACTGACAATTTATATTACATCATTCTTTAGTGATCTTGTAGGTGGCGACATACAAGGTGTAGTATGTGCTTCGCGCTGGAAATCCGTACTGGGGGGAGGGGGCAGATAAATACTTACACTACTATTATTGAAGATAGCTGTTGTATGTGGAAACATCTGTTAGTTGAGTTCTTGTAACAAAACTT